TTGTCTTCAGAAAAAATAGAAAAAGGGGAGATGTTGGAGACCAAGATGGCTGGACTCAGGACACGTTGGGCCTGAACCTTTAAGCAGGGTACAGCCTCTGCTAAAAGGGGCAAAGCACTGAAACAGAGTCTCACAGCCCTGTCATGTGGAACACTGAAATGACTAGCAAAAGGCAGCTGGCCAGGCTAAAAGTTCACAGTCTCTTTGTTCTGATAAGACATCTTAACTTCCTTGATCTAGAGGTGAAAAACAACCCAATAAATAACACCAAGTACGTGTGTAATTAAAATTACGATATCTTGTTACTAAGCTCTGACATATCCTCTGGTCTTTTACAAACGACCCTCTACCCAATGTGAGGATTGATCAACCTATGTGACGTGTAATATGAGCACCCTTTGTCTTTGTCCAAATGGAATTGTTCACGAACCCTGGACCCTGGCATGTGTCCACGGGCCTCTCTTTGGTATATGAGCTTGCTGTTGATCACCTCCAGATAACAGTGCTACTACTGCACCAATAGAAGCAGCTTGCTGTGCCGGTCGTTGTGATTATTGGGCTATAGAGCTGAGTTGGACCGTTGATTGCTTTCTTCCTTAGCAGCTTGCATAGTATCATCTAGAAGTATAAGAGCTCGTCTTCAGGGAGAAGGCTTCCAGGTCAGTTCCAGGTCCATTGTTGCAACTCTTGTATCTGAAGTATGTGCTGTCTTCAGTAGTAGCGTCTTCCTTTCAAGTTCTATGAAGAAATCAAGGGCCGTGACAATAACCTGTGTGTATTTGGGCAGTCTCTTGGACTACCCTGACATCGACTCATTGTCCTGCCTGTGTTTCTTCAGCTGTACACAGCTGTGTCCTTCAGCTATACACATGCACATATATGTATACCCCACCCCCACGGCTGTTGAACTGATACATTTCCCTCTGGTCAACTTTTTTTCTTTTGCTTTGTTCTCACAGCTCAAGAATTTTTCTATCCTGTCTTCTATACGTGTTTATACCAAGAATATGCTGTTATTTCTGAATTCCATATCTGTTTAGTCAGTGTTTTTTCTCGTTGAACACTTGTCCTTCAACATATGCACAGGGACAGTTGAAACATCTGTCAACTCTAAGTTGTCCTACTTTATTGGTTCCTCAGAGAATGTATGGTCATTCACTCTTCAAACATTCAATGATTTGGAAAAGATGTACTTTCCAATGCCATAGAGATCAAGTCCCAAGAGAGTGTGAAATACAGAAGGTAAAATGTTCATTTTTGTGCAGCCTTTATATGACCACAAGCAGAACAGTGTTTATTAAACAAGACCTTTGGCGATCTGATCATGTCAAAGTTGTGAGAGTTTCAGCTTTGGAAAGTACTGAAGATCATGACATCTTTATGACGATTCCTTTTTTTCCCCCATAATTCCCCAAATCAGCTTATCAACAATCTTTTGGATTAGAGCATTTTAAACACACATATTATAAAACAAGTACAGAGCATCCAGTCACTTATACTTAAAGAAACTTCAAAAGTGCTGATGTGCAAAGTAGATTGGAACAAAACATTCCTTTTGGAAATTTATATTTGTGTTCAAAATGTAACTCTTCAGGGATGTCAAGACGCACTTGCCTGTATATTTGGTTTTTGGTATGTAATCCAAATCCCTGACACCTTTTTTATTAAAATGTAGGAAGAAAGGCATTTAACTATGACAAAAGAAAATATTTAACACAATATGTAGTAAAAATTTTCGTGTTATACAACCATGCAAAGAAAATTTATGAACAAAATATTTCAAAAGTGTTTCCATGCCTCTGTCTTTTTTTGAAAATGGGTGTGTTGACTAAACCAGTAATACTAAATTTATCAGTATGATACTTGCTATATATCAGCCTATGAAATCGAAGTTAGAGTAAAGAAAAGTTTCATTGCTGTTCTCAAGAGAAGATGAAGGTTTTAATATTAAAAATTGGCATTAGTAACACTGCATGTTTACACTCTGTAACATTCAATGCAAAATCAGGAAGTAACTGCTACTAAATTACTATAAAATAGGTCCATTTCCTCTGTTATTTGACTAATGTGAAGTAATATATTTAACAGATATAGGTAGTTAAACCTTTTGACCTATGTATTGCACTCTAAGTGCAGTTTGGAGTTAGACATTAACATATTTATGGAGCACCAATTTCATATTGGATAATTGCTTGAAACTATGAAACATCATCGCTGCTTGAAAATAAGTGTCCAAAGTGAGTTCAACATTATCTAGTGCTATTATGGTCACAGTCATACAGTAGGGGAAAGATTTAAAAGCAGGCAGAAGTTTGCTCCTGTGTAAAACCAAAGCCTTTTAAAGTATCTGCTATAATTAAAACTCAGAATGCATAACCCAGAAAAAATTGAGGTGCGTCGTCTTCCTGACTGATGAGACTTTGAAAAAATAACCCATAGCATAGGATCATTGTCTGTTCTCATTCTTAAAAAAAATTACCATGCTCACAAGTAGTCCTAACTGGTAACAGTATGTCTGTTGACCTTGGCAGGTAACGACCTAATGAATGTCTTGGAGCCAGATTCCAGCTTTCCTTTTGTAAGAGAATTTGTTCTCCAAGACTTTGCCTGTGAGTGCACGATTCAAGTCCTTCTCTTCTCGCTCTTCACTACAACATATGGTCTCACCATCATGGGGAATATAGCTGTCGTTTATGCCCTGTTCTGTGACCAGAGACTCCATAGTCCCACGTATATGTTCCTAGGGAATGTTTCCTTCCTAGAAATCTGGCATGTCTCTTCCACAGTCCCCAAGATGTTAGTCAACTTCCTTTCAAACAAAAAAACATTCTCTTTTGCTGGATTCTTCCTCCATTTCTATTTCTTCTTTCTTTTGGGTACATCTGAATGCTTTCTTTTGACTGCCATGGCCTTCGATCAGTACCTGGATATCTACCATCCCTTGTGCTACTCCAATATCTTGTCTGGGAGTTTCTGAACCAAATTGGTCATTATCTGCTGGTCATGTGGGTTGCTGTGGTACTTAATCCCCATCGTTCTCATCTCGCAGATGCCCTTCTGTGGTTCAAAGGTTATTGACCATATATATATATATATATGCTTTTGATATTTCTGGACTTTGATACAGACCAGGCTGCTAAGAGACCCAAGGACATTTTGACTTTTAGCCAAGAAAGAAACTGGCTACTTTTCTTTGGGGTCTTTTTACCCTGACTGCCTAGCCAATTCCTACCTCCTATTCTTATCACGCCACCCTCTGAAGGGGTTACCCAAGTTGCCAATAGGGAATAGGGACACCCGCCAACTGCTCTGGCTTCTTCCATGCTGAACAGGGATGCAGGGTGCCCAATGGGGAATTAGGTTGTAGTTTGCTCTGGCTTCTTGCTGAACAGGGACATGTGGTGTGGTAATTGGGGTACCCCCTTCCATTTGTCTATCTGAAAGACTCCAAAATTGTATAACTCTTAACTGTAGAGAGAAAAGAAAGTCCTTGACCAGTGCCTGGGAGATGTGAAGGAGAAGTAGGCAAGAGTAGTTAGCATTACAAGTTCTAGACAGGGAATTAGAAAGGGTTAGAAAAGGGTAAATGTTAGATGTCCATATTAAATTCCGTCAGAATTTCCTAAAGAGGGCTTCCAAAAGCATCCATTTATTGGGTTTTTCCTTTTTTTTTTTGGCTGCCAAAGTTGGACTCGAGAGTGTCATCAGGATCTATTTTCAGGCACTTCGATAGCTGTTGGAGTGGCTAGAATCAATTTTCTTTTAAATGATTCCTAGACATGGAGAGAAACGACATTTAGTCATCATTTTAGAACACTAGTGGGTTTTCTCCCTTAGCGGCAGGTGGGTACTCCAATATTGCAGACCAAGATCTGAAGTCTTACACCTGAGCGGCATTTTTTTTTTGTTAAGAACAAAATCATTAATGAGAAATAATGATTTAAATAAAATTTTACATGAACTTAAGTCTAATGTCTGGGAAAGGCAATTCTTTGGACTCAAAGAAATACACTGATCACGTTTTGGTTATATTTTTCCTTTTGGAGTTTAAGACCATGCAGTTTGCCCAAATTAATTCACTTTTACTTTCAAGGTCAGTTGAGGATCTGGACCTCTGGGTCTCATGGGCCTGGAAGGAGTACCTGGCTCCTTAGGCCTTCTTTTTACCAGTTCCATCTGTTTGAGGAGAAGTCAAAGGTCCTGCTCAACCAGTGCTGGCTTCACTTGCACGTACTGAGGAAGTAGTTTTCTCTGTATTTTACCCTCCTCTTTGCAGACTGGACACTGTTCAAGTCCATCTCGTGGGGTCTCCCTGGCCTCCATGAACAAGAGGACAGGTGACTCACCACAGTTACAGGACATTTCAAGAGATGCCCTATAGTCCCCTGGACCGTAGTTGACATTGTAAGGCAAGGAACCAAAATTGTTCCTTTA